AGGGGTACCTTTACCTTCAACATCGTCACCTCTGCCTGCTATTTAGATAAATAACAACTGTCCGGGAGCCTAGTTGTGCTGCCTTTCAATCCAGAATGCTTCTCAAGGCATGAATAAACTATACATACACCAGCCCTACCAATCAGCATTGCATTGTGCTAAGGCAGCATGATCATCCCCAGTCCCTGACCCACTTCTCGTTATGTAACTGCTCTCCTTGCCTTTCGTCCCATTTCGTTCCTGCAGCTGGGATGTTCTGTTGCTTGGCTGTGCATTTATTTTCTCTGTCCCTAGAACGGCCCGTCTTTTCACCTTCCAAGGGCAGAGAGGGATGAGTCAGGTGCAGCAGCAGCTGCGCCTTCGAAGAGACGCTGAGTGATGGCAGCTGGATATTCTGTCACCTGGCTGTGACCTCCTTCCTTCCTACCTGCCTGCCTGCCTGCAGGATTGCAGGTCTTTTCGCAGCCCAAGGACAAAGGAGGAGATGCCAGGTGCAGCGGCAATGTCTTCTCAGATGAAAAATGGGCAACTCCACTTGCGAAACAGGAAAGGCATTTAATAAATCCATCCATCCTGTGCGTGTTTGTAGCATTTTGTTCACAGAACTGCAACCTAGCACTGAAGCACTAGCATGGGCTGTGCTGGTTGGGGCTGAAAACATCGGAAAATGTTTGGAAGGCTGCAGGCATAGCTGTCAACCGTCCCTTATTTGGCGGGAAACTCCCTTATCCCAGCGCCGTGTCCCACTGCTGTCCCAGATTGATGATGTCCCTTAAATTTCCCGGGTTTCATGCTCGCCCGGCTCGGGAGGGAAGCAGCGGCTCGGGGTCCTCCGCCTCGAGAGAGCGAGCACATGAGCTGCCGTGTCTCCGTCTCTCCCTTTTCACCCTCAGGGGCGCGTTGTGAAAGACGGGTAGCGGCGGGCAGGCAGGCAGCCCCTCTCTTGCGAGACTTCCGCCGCGCTGCCAGGGGAAGTCGGAGGCGGCAGCGGCGGCAGCAGCCTGAGGGAGGAGGAAGAAGAGGGGATGGGGAGGGTCGCAGAAGGGCAGCGCTTCAGTGGCTGCCACAGCGCCGCAACGACCTCATGTCGGGCTTGCGGGCGGCGTGGGCGAGAATCTCTCTCCCTCCCTCTCGGGTGCTGAAGGGCCGATGGAACTCATAAGCTAAGCAAAATCCCTCATTTTGGCTGCTGATCCCTTATTTTCAAGGCTGCTGGTCCCTTATTTTCAAATCTGTAAGTTGACAGCTATGGCTGCAGGCTCCCTATCCCTGGAAGAAGAGGAAGAGGAAGAGGAAGAGGAAGAAGAAGAAGAAGAAGAAGAAGAAGAAGAAGAAGAAGAAGAAGAAGAACAACAACAACAACAACAACAACAACAACAACAACAACTTCATTTCAGAAAGTGAGGAGGGATATAACACTTTGGGTATGTTATGCACCCCAACCCTACAGATATAAATTCAGCAAGATTTATTCTGAAGGAAGTGCACAGCCCAGCCACAATCGGAAGCGTTGTTCCCTGGAAGCAAGAAAATCCCCTTGAACTCAGCAAGGCAGGCTTCTGAATCGACAAGGCTAAGAAGGAAAAAGTGCCCCCTGCTAACACCCAGCCTCTCAGAAAAGCATAGGAGCCCCGGGTGCAATTTCCCAGGGGGGCAAGAAGCCCCATTCTTTGCAACTTCTGGGTAGACAAGAACATGCAGGCGGGAGCAGCAGATTCTATGGTGCAGACTTGTCCTTGTTTAGGCATCTGCTGTTGCCTCTGTCCGCATCCTAATCTGTTCTCCACGATGCTCAGGGTACCCCAGCTTTGAGCGTAGTTCCTGGGAAGGACTGCCTGCCCCCCAAAATTAATAAAATATGGGGGAGCACATAATCACAGAACATGACATGGCACACCCACCCACACCCATTTGGAGGGCAATGCCTATCAACTTTGGCAATGCCTATCAATTTTTTTTTGGGGGGGGGGAGTGTCCAAGGCACCTCAGCATAGCTGTCAACGTTTCCCCTTTTTAAAGGGAAATTCCCTTATTCCGAATAGGATTCCTCTCAAGAAAAGGGAAAAGTTGACAGCTATGCACCTCAGCCCCTAGTGTGGCAGTGACCCAAAGGGCCACAATAAATGTGATAATGTGTACCCCTGTAAATCCTTGAGTTTGCTTCAATTAGAGAAGTTATGGTAGCCTGTTATTTTATGCAACTGATGATTTTGCAAGTTGCCACCCCCATTGGGGCAGAAATACAGCTAATATAGTAAAAGGTAAAGGGTATCCCTGACCATTAGGTCCAGTCGTGGCCGATTCTGGGGTTGCCGCGCTCATCTCACTTTAGCTGTATAGTAATCACATCACCTTGCGAACAAAGGTCCATATAGTTAAAGCTATGGTTTTCCCAGTAGTGATGTATGGAAGTGAGAGCTGAAGAATTGATGCTTTTGAATTATGGTGCTGGAGGAGACTCTTGAGAGTCCTATGGACTGCAAGAAGATCAAATCTCTCCATTCTGAAGCAAATCAGCCCTTAGTGCTCACTGGAAGGACAGATCATGAAGCTGAGGCTCCAATACTTTGGCCACCTCATGAGAAGAGAAGACTGCCTGGAAAGACCCTGATGTTGGGAAAGATGGAGGGCACAAGGAGAAGGGGACGACAGAGAACGAGATGGTTGGATAGTGTTCTCAAAGCTACCAGCATGAGTTTGACCAAACTGCGGGAGGCAGTAGAAGACAGGGGTGCCTGGCGTGCTCTGGTCCATGGGGTCACAAAGAGTCGGACACGACTAAATGACTAAACAACAACAATCACAAAGATACAGCTGAATCACAAAGATGCAGCTCAAGTTGTTACATGGTGCAAATGGCTACACGTAACACAGGTTCCCAACATGCCCACTAACACAATGTAACAGAACACAGCAGGAATCAGAACTTAATCAGCAGAAATTGCCAGTGTTTATTGCACACGTGTATTAATCATGAAATGAGGTAATAATGTATATAACTGGTAAAAATTGAAATGCTTTGTTTGAAACTTTATAAATAGTCGTGCCTGGACCACCAGGCGGGGTTGCAGTTTTGCAGAACGATCAGACTGTAACCTATTGCTTTGCAATAAACAATGTTGGACTCCTAACTCTTCATGTTTCTGAGTTTTATCTGCGTAAACTCAGGAGATAAGCCATTTTTCGGCTTACAACACTAGGAGTTGGCTCCTGAGGCTGGCAGTCAGTGCAGACAACTTGAAGCTTTGATGGACCTGGTGATCTGGGCGCTTCCTGCGTTTCTCATCCTCTCTGAGGCATAGATGGAGCCAACTCCTGGGGGCTGAGGTCCCTTTGTACCCCCTGCCCCAAATAATATAACTGAGGGGGGCTGGGTCCCCCCAAAGTTGATGGGCATTGCTATATGATTTGCATGGATTTGCATTGATTTTTATTCCTTTAGTGAGTGGCAGATGCCCCTCTGAGGGCATAGCCAGGATTTTTGTTGGGGGGGGCAGAACCTTAGACTTGTATTGATTTGTATTGGTGCAGCCAGCCAGCCAGCACTGGCAAAGCCAAGGGGGGTGGGGGCAAGCATGATTGAAAAGCGTTGAAAATACTCAATTATTTGAGGTTCTGCCACACACCGCCAGCAGAAACTTCCCCCCTCCGTGATGTCCCCTACTTTTTATCTGTTATTTTCCAACTTTGATTTTCTATTTAAAAAAAAAAACACCTTTGGCTGTCCTCCCCCCACTTAACAAAAATACGCCCATGGTCAGCAGGATTTTTGTTGTGTTTGTTTGTTTGTTATTTGGGGGGGAGTTGTGAAGCTTTTTTGAGGGAGATCACAGGTAAAAACAAGACCTGACAGGGGCAGGTATTTTTAAGGGGAGCAGGTTAAACTGAATATTTAATTGTTCATATATGGTGGGATTGCAAAATTGTTGAGAAGTATTGGGAAATGATTTATAATGAAATGAAGAAGTTGTTTAAAACAACCTTTGTCCAAAAACAAACCCAGAAGCTTCCCTATTAGGTATCACAGGAATGGATTTACCAAGATCACAAAAGAGCTTGTTTATGTACACAACCAAGGCTGCAGCAACATTGTTAGCTAAAGAAGATTGGCAAGTCAAATTAACGGAATATGCTGAAATGGCAAAACTGACAATGAAATTAAGAGGAAGAGACAACAACGAATTTAAGGAAGACTGGAAGGACTTTGTTGCATATATACAGAAGCAGTGTACAGTTTAATACATCTGCAGGGTTTTGAAGAATACTTGTAATTATATTATGAATGGACATAATTCATATGGTTAAAACGGGCATAGGCAAACTTGCCCCTCCAGATGTTTTTCGGACTACAACTCCCATCATCCCTGATCAGTGGTCCAGTTAGTGAGGGATCATGGGAGTTATAGTCCCCAAAACAGCTGGAGGGCCGAGTTTGCCTATGCCTGGCTTAAAACTTTATAATGGACATGTAGTACACTGATATACAATGGAACCAAGGAAGGGAATAGGGGGGAGTCAATCTGTTTTGTTTTTGTTTTTATCTTTATTATTGTTTTTATATTTTATATGTTTTAATGTTGTATTTCAATCAATTGTTTTTATAGCTGGTCTTAGCTGCTCTGAGCCCGGTCTTGGCTGGGGAGGGCGGGGTATAAATAAAATTTATTATTATTGTTGTTGTTGTAAAATTAATAAAATGTTATGTGGGAAAAACCTGAGTATTTGAGTATTTTTTTTAACGCTTTTCCATAATGTTTGAGGATTGGGAAGGAGTGTAGCTGCCCTGAGATATGGACAAGGCATATAACTATGAACATGGTTTATTGTGGAAAAGGGACGCAGACATGTCGAAATTGAAATTTAATTGAAACTCTGAGGTAAAAAGCTGAGGGGGAAAAGAGCGCGAGGCGGGCGGGGGGCGGGGCTTGGACAGAGCGCGGGAAAAGGCGGAGGCGGAGAAGCCCCGCCCCGAGGGGGTGGGGATGAGAGGCTCCGCCCTCCTAGCTCGCCCAGTTCCCCTGGGTGGGCGTGGCTGGGTTGGGCGGTGGGCGTGGCTCCCCGAGGCTCTCCTGGTCCTCTTCCAGGCAGTGGATGCTGCGCGTCTGGCGGCGCCGGTCGGTCTCTCCCGGAGCTGCTGCTGCTGCTGCCGCTGCCGCGGGTCTGCCTGGCCGGGTCCGAGGCGTCTGCCGCCGCCCGCCGATCGCGCTGGAGAGGAGAAGGCTGAGTTCTTGCGCTGGGGGACCGCGGAGGGGCTTCCCACTCATGCCCGGGGACGGAGAGCGCAGGGTGGTAAGTTGTGCGGGGAGGGAGGGGGCGCCTAGGATGCTGGGGGGGGGGTCCGCGACCTCAACTGGGGTTTGCATTCATTGGGATTTGGGGTTTGCATTCATTGGGATTTGTATTAATTGGGATTTATAGCCTGCTCTAAGTGCCCCACTCCCCACCCGCTTACTGGGTTGGCGCTGCCAGTTTCAGAGAATCCTGGAATTTGCAAAAATCGGAAGGGACCCCTGAAGGTCATCCAGCCCAACCCATGCAATGCAGGAATGCAATGCAGGAATAAGCAGCCGCCCCGCACGGGCATCGAACCCGCAACCCTTGGTGTCAATCGCACCCCTCATTCTCACCAGCAGAGTTATCCAGGCAAAGATCATTCCCGCTTGCAGTTTTGCTGCTTTCCTTATCCTGCTGGATTTCTTCACTGGATCCGTTATGAATGACCCGCCTTGTCTAAGGACCTCTTCCTAGAAGGATCCTGGAATCTTAGGGTTGCAGAGATGGAAGGGACCCCTGAGGGTAATCGAGTCCGACCCCCTGCAATGCAGGGATAGGCAGCTGTCCCATACGGGGGATCGAAGCTGCAACCTTGGTGTTATCACCACTTATTCTAACCAACTGAGCCATGAATTCATTTTGCATGGAGTTGAAGCCCTGCCAGATTCCCAGAGGAAGGGTCATTTGCCCTCGACAGAGAACAAGCAGCTTCTTAAAATGGGGCAGTTGTTTCGATTTGCTTGGCCCCAGTACAGAACTGTGGCACAGTCCTATGCAGGTCTACTCGGCAGTAAACCCCATGGAGTTCAAATAGGATTTGCCCCCAGGCAGCGGTGCCAGTTTCAATCAAATATTGGGAGTGGAGTGGGGCTACCCCCTCCACATAATCGCTAACAAGACATGCCCCCCCACCATTTGAATGGCTAATCTGCTTGGGGGGCATGGCCCCCCCAAATCAATAAAATCAGTAAAAAAAAAAAACCCTGAGATTCTGCCCCCCCCCAACATAAATCCTGGCATACTCATGGGTGGTCCCCTCAAATATTTTATTGGGGCGCCAAAGTGACCTCGATCCCTAGGAGTTGACTCCTTTGCTCCCAGGTAAGTGTGCCTAGGTTTTTGCAGTCTTCCTTCAGGGGTTTTCCTTTGCCGCGGCTGATTTGCTCCAGTCATCCTGAGCGTTGCAGCTGAAGAGCTGTTTTGTTTCAAAGAATGCAATGGAAACGGTTAAATCCCTCTCTCTGGGGAAAAAAAAATTAAAGGGACATCCATGCAGTAGGGAAGGTTTTGTCATTGTTTTTCGGTCAGACTGGGTTTCTGATTTGGAGAGAAGCAAATATTTCAACTGCACCATGATACGCCCTGCGGATGGTAACTTACAAAAAAAAAGTACAAGAAAGCCTGAGTCTGTACAGTAATAGGATCAGTTTGCCGGGAAAAGTGCACAGCGGAGTCTGAGGGATGAGCAGAGGTCGGAGGAGGAGAGGCTTAGAGAGTAATTAATTCCTCGGCCATAAGTATGCCATGACTGCTTACAAAAAGGAGGGTCAGGGAGGAAAGGACAGTTGAATCCATTGTACATGTTTTGCCTTTATGGCGGTGGGTACCAAGGCAGTGAGGAAGGTTTTTCCAGCTTCTCTTTTTATGATAACACACTTTAGTCTCTTGCAGTGTCTTTTTCCAATGCATCTTATTTTGCTCCGAGTTTACAGTGGCTCTGAGTTTGCTATTACTGAGTGCATCGCATTGGATAGTATTTGAGTATTCTTCTAACTATGCTTCCAAAGGGCTGCCAGGGTGTTTTCACTTTTCAACGCTGCATATTGCAGTATTGCAATATTGGATATTTAATGCCTTTAATGTCCTTAAGAAACAACTTGCAGCTAGGTCCACAGAGCTGTGGATCCATATGAAGCGGCTGGATTTCAGCCAGTCTAATTCAGTTGACTTTGGTGGGTATTAATTGTTTAAAGTGGCTTAAATCCTAAAGCTTCAGTCCAAAGAGATTGTGAATTGGGACTAGTTTTTGGAATGCTCCTCTGTGTCAGCCAGATCACCATTTCTGCACACTTTCCTGACAATAATATTGGCGCTTGTTGCATTTTCTTCTCACCAAACTGCAGTCACAGATTCCGCCCGCTCCCCCCCAAAACAAAGAATTTGCGCACTTCCCTCAAGCAGTGTATGCATGCACCTGTGTTAACTTGATGCTGACTAAAAGAATGAGGGATCAGGACAGGTACGCTCAGTGACTGATCCTGGGATCGTGAACTTGGCAGGTTTGGCTTCAGCTATAAGAAATTAGTAAATGAGTGCTCAGATTCATAAATGATGACTAGAGTGCAGTGATTCAAAATCAGAATAAAATACTCCCTGTTGACTGCGTACCCGGTGGCAGTCCCAGGTTTTCCATCACATAAAATGTTAAGCAGCACTTATTTGTGTTATTAGTCTTTTTGGTTTAATGTAGCCGGAAATTTAACTCTCTTTTTTTCCTATAATGTACAGGGAAATGTCTTTTGATGTTTGACCTTGTAACTAAACTGATGAAAACATTTCTCTCTCTTTTTAAGCGCAACCAAGGAATGTGTTCCACATGAAGCATAAAGCTATCGGATTCTGAAAGGACACGTCAAAGCCGCATTTACTTGAACAGTGAAAGAAGAATGACAGAACAATCTGTCTGACTTTAAATTCTCGGACCGCAAGAAAGAGCTCAGAATGGCTCCGTGCAAAAACATTGTCGTCAACTTTCTTGAGGAACTGTGTCTGCCAGAACCACTGCTTGGCTGTAAGAAACACCCAAACGTTAGGAAAAAGCTGAGACTGATACGAATAACAGGACTTTTCCTGGGTATCGTGGCCGTTAGCACGCTGTATCTTTCAATTAGTGCCTTTTTCCAGTCGCAACCTTATAGCACAGAGACAACCAGCAATCTAGATAGCCATAAGTCAAAGCACATGCATCAAAGAACTCTATTGGACTTTAACGAACAGAATCAAACCGGCGCTCCAGATTCACCTATTTCTATGAAATATGAAGCTGGGCAGGATAACCATACGGAGGAGCACTCCAAGGGAGAGTACCCGGAAGATCTTTTTTCTCTTGAAGAAAGACGGAGGGGTGCTGTAATACTTCATATTTGTGGAATGGTTTACATGTTCATAGCCTTAGCCATTGTCTGCGATGAGTTCTTTGTTCCTTCATTGACAGTCATTACAGAAAAACTGGCGATTTCTGATGATGTGGCCGGGGCAACATTCATGGCTGCTGGTGGCTCAGCCCCAGAACTCTTCACTTCTCTAATAGGAGTTTTTATATCCCACAGCAATGTCGGCATTGGAACAATAGTTGGCTCTGCCGTGTTCAATATCCTCTTCGTGATTGGGATGTGTGCTTTATTTTCCAAGGAGATCCTGCACCTCACCTGGTGGCCCCTCTTCCGGGATGTGTCTTTTTACATCATGGACCTGATATTGCTGATCATCTTCTTTTTGGATAACTTCATCATGTGGTGGGAAAGTTTAACGCTGCTGTTTGCTTATTTCGTCTACGTGACGTTCATGAAGTTCAACGTGCAAGTGGAAGAACTGGTAAAAAGCCTGCTAAGCAAGAACAAAGTGGAAAAAGTATCGCCAGAAGTCGAAGCAAAGGTTAGTATCGTATGGAGAAACTAGTACCACTCACTTTCAAAACCGTGTTGCGTTGTCCTTAGCTTGTGGTTTGCCGCTGTGTCTATATCAGGGCTGGTTCACATTTCCTGGCAGCCTCTGTTTCCCTCCCCATCACCCATTGTTTTGATATTATTAACCATCTTTTCTTTCTGCATGTGGGACTGTTAGAATGTCCAACAGTCATGTATTAAATGGGTAATTCCTGAGCTGCAAATAAAAACCTCAAACCAGAAAGCAAAGCAAAAAATTCAAAGCATCAGCAGTAAATAGGCTTCCACGATAAGCATTCAGCTACTGCTCAGGTCTAAAGCATATGGGAAGAATAACATGTCTCAAGGCAAGCAGAATACTAGACAGTGAATTCCATAGTCCGTGTGCTACTGCTGAAACGGTTCTGCTTTGTGTGTTGCTTCACCTTATACAGTGAAGGTTTCAGACAAAGAACAAAAGGCCCGGTGGCTTTAGATGGAAGGAAGTAGCATTTATACATCTAGGTCCCAAACCAAAACCTTGTGCCTTCAGAGTGTGCTGTACTGTTGTGCTTGTGGATGGTGCCACATGCATGACCTGTGGATAATGACCTTCACGTCAGGACTGTGGATATGACTTCAGCAATTTGCGCAGTTCTGACAGCTGCATTTTGAACTGTTGGGAGGGACACAGGTTGTGGCAACAGCTTACGTATATAGAGTTTGGAGGAACCGTTTCATTTCTGTACGTAGCACGATGTCATCAAACCTGCACACTCGAGAGCTTGCTCAAGGGCTGCTACAAATGTGAAATAGTTCACAGTTTCAGCCACAAATGCATTTCTGCAAGCATATAATACTGTGAGTTAAAGAGCTGATATACTCAATAATATATTTGCTCTCCTTCTACATACTGTGGCTCAATTCAAACATCACACCAAACATGCTTTGCACAGGTTGTGATTTAGGACCTATCCTTGGGTCATGCTAGCTCTGTTTTGCCGGTTTATTCCCATCTCCTTATAGACCTACCTGTGGGTGTGGTGCTGCAGCTATAAATAGGCTTTGCCAGTTCAGGTATCATGTCAAAGCAGCAGAAAGAAGAATTCACAACCGTTCAAAAGTAAAAATACCAAAACAGATTAAAATTGGCCAACTGCCATCTGCAAATGGCCAAAGCAGAACCAGATATCTTCATTTAAAAGTGAGGTGTAAACTGTACTCTTCAGTGTAGTCTTTTCGGCAGCGGTTGAAAACATTTAGGCAAGCCTGTCCGCTACAGTCATCTGCCTCTGTAGTAAAATGTTGTGATGTGAAGTTCTGCATGTCTTGTTTTCCATTGGGATACTTTAAAGATACAGTTTGCATTACTTCAGAGTAAACACTCTACATGAGGAGAAATGTAACTAAGCAGTCTTTGCCATATGAATTAAATGTTTATACGTGTCTGCATTCTCCCAGCTTTAAAAAAAGCTTTCCAAGATATATCTACCATAAGGTTTTATATGAGAAAGTTTGAAATGTCATATCTGATTAATATACAGTTGTTTGCATGATCATTCTAGGTGTGTAATAACATTCTGGATCTTCCTAACAGTTTTCAAACTCTTTTGAGGAATGCAGAGTTCATCGATGAGATGATCAGTTATGCTCAATACAAGCTTTCACAAATGGTGGATTGAAACAGCAATCGCGCCATTTTATTCCAGAAAAACTACAATTTCCTGTGATCTGAATCATTAACATGGATTAGAATTTCCAATCTGTACATTAAAAAGGGACGGGCGTAGATGCAACGGAGTCCACTGGTAGAGAGACTGGGCATGGGCCATAGGAATGTGGGCTCCTTTATTCTTGTCTGTCTCCTTTCTGGTGCAAATTCTACACACACCCCCCTTCATATCCTTAACCATGGTTAATGCTAAACAGAGTTTACCCTTTACCACAATTGGAAGCAGGGTTGGCTGTGGTTAAGGCTTACATTGGCAGCGTCCTTAGCCATGGTTAAGGATGGCTGGGGAAGGATGAAAGGAATTCATAATGGACTGATGGGAGTGGAGACAGGGACTGCCCATGCCCACCCCCTGTTCCTTACCCATAAATGATGAGTCATGTTACATCTTCCCTGGCTCAGAGTGGGCCAGTTTATACAGTCTCACTATAATTCTGTGAGCAAAGTACATACGGTAAGAGGTTTACTAATCTGCACGAAGCGATCATGAGTCGGATATTGATGTTGGCATCTGTCCTTCTTGAGGGACCATGGAGTGTGCCTCTGGGGGTGAGGTCAAACCGCAGTACTGAATTGACCTCCCTGGGCATTGAACATGGAGGTCCTGGGCTGCCCAGAGGACAAGACACCGCCCCCTCCTCGGCCATGCTGTGGGTCCAAAGGAAAGTGAGCAATACATTTGGCACCAGCTTGGCTGCAGGAGATGCCGGGAGGAGGTGTACAAGTCGCCATCCGACCATCTTAGGGACTTCACTCTGGATATGTGTAAGGTTTACTCCTTCTCCCAAAGATGTCCCCAAGGCAGCACAGGTTTAGGGTCAGAGTTTTCTGAGTTTTCCTTCTCCTGGATGGGCTACCTTCCCAGGCTAACGAGTCCCCAATAACTATAGTGGCGCACAGTGCATCAGGCTGCTACAATAGCATACTGATCCATTATTTTATGTTGACTATCATCTGCATGCCCAAACCCGCCTAACAGTATTGAGTGCATTGATTGGCAACGTATTTTTGTCTTGGAGATGTCTGGGAAGCTTTTAGATTAGCGCTTAGACCAGCTTCCACCAATCTGGTGCCCTCCAGATCATCCGATGTCCAAATCATCTGCAGGATATCAGGTTGGCGAAACTGGCACAAACATATCACCCCCCATTTAGCAGCCTTAATTACTGTTGTTTCTGAGCTATGTGCAATGCCTCGTGTGTCCGCAGTGGCATTTCCTAACATGGCAGGATATTACGGCTCTGTTCCATGTAGGTTTTGTTTTACTTTGACATCATGGTCCTTTGCCTATCATAAGCATAGCTCCCTCCTTTCTTAAACATCTAGCTAGATTTGCACTCAAACCCAGGAGGGAGGGAGCATATCGCTTTCAAAGAATTACAGTGTAAAGATTAGAGGTTTCACAAAATGGCCAAGCGTTGGTGTAGCATGACTCTTGTTTGTTACTTTTAGAAATGCATCTCAATGAGGGGCAGCAGGGTTTACAAATGGTTTGGCGAGGAGATGAGTGCGCCGTGACACATCATTTTACAACATTATCCAATCCAGGACACTTGCACAACCACATTCCATGCAACCGTTAAAAAAGCAGTTGAGGTATTATCTAGGGATGGTGACTGTAACATTTTGTCAAATGCTGGAAAAATAGATTTGAGTGATAGAAGTGAAACCTTGAGAGGGTATTGGAGAGTAAGGTAAAGGTAAAGGGACCCCTGACCATTAGGTCCAGTCTTGACCGACTCTGCGGTTGCGGCGCTCATCTTGCTTTATTGGCCGAGGGAGCCAGCGTACAGCTTCCGGGTCATGTGGCCAGCATGACTAAGCCGCTTCTGGTGAACCAGAGCAGCGCATGGAAATGCCGTTTACCTTCCCACCGAAGTGGTACCTATTTATCTACTTGCACTTTGAGGTGCTTTTGAACTGCTAGGTTGGCAGGAGCAGGGATTGAGCAATGGGAGCTCATCCCGTTTCAGGGATTCGAACTGCCGACCTTCTGATCAGCAAGTCCGTGGTACCTATTTATCTACTTGCACTTTGACGTGCTTTTGAACTGCTAGGTTGACAGGAGAAGGACTGAGCAACGGGAGCTCATCCCGTCGCGGGGATTTGAACTGCCGACCTTCTGATCAGCAAGTCCTAGGCTCGGTGGTTTAACCCACAGCGCCGTGGAGAGTAGCACTTGGTAAATGCACATTTTTATGTGCTAAATGTGCAGGAAGATTTTTAATAGATGAGGTTATGCTCACACTGACTGGGGTCTGACTGATGAGTGAGGGTATATCTGTTTATTAAAATATTCATGTGCATTACACATCTTGATGGATTTTCTTTGTTAGAACTGCTGGACAGTGCACTTGATTTTTTTGTGGCTCACTGTGGGCCAGATCACCCAATTAAGTCTATGGAGAAATTTCCGGATGGATAGTTTTGCTTCAGGCTGATATCTGTTCTAGTCAGGTGGGTCCTGAAACAAAAAGCTGAATGTGCTTGTTCATGGTTTCTCTTTTCCACTGTGTTTTCTGTCCAGCTGGTTTTCTACCCCTGTCCCTTGACATCGGTCATCACTCTTGGCTACTAAACATGCTCAGCTCAGTGGGCTGCTACTTTGCTTTACTTCTGCAAACTTGGGGTTCCTCCAAGCCTGCAGATACTTCTTCCCTGTGCACAGATGGTGCCTTTTTTTTTAGTTACACAAGGATCAACACTCAGCGAATTGAATTTGCTATTAGTGCACAGAAATGTTGCAGAGTGCAATGCTCCTCAGGATTCCAGACACTTCATTCTATTTGCACTTCCATTTCCCCATGTATTTTGCTTTCCCTCTCTGTTAGTCAGCATCCTGAGCATGCCAACTGGGCATAAGCCCTTAGTGGGCTTTTGGGTGGCATGGATTCCATGTTCCCCTTAGAGTGTTTTCCTCTGTGGATTTTTTAAAAAACTTTTGCAAATATTGGGGCTCCCACAAGGTTGCCGGTTCATCCGTCTGTTGTTCGGTTACGAACATTTTGGCTACTTATGGACCAACACTCAGAGAACTGAGAACACTGTTGGAATATAAAGGAAAGGGCACTTTGCTTCCTCCTTGTAGTATAGAATGTGGATATTCTGCATGCAACTCAGAAGTTCAATGAGTTCAGTGGGATTTATTTATGTATAGTGTTACAGTATTTTTGTTACATCTAAACAAATGTTTTGAAAGTTTCAGAGTAGTTTATAGGATGGTTTCCTAAAGCACTCAACAAGATTGTTCTGGCATCTGTAGCAAGCATTAATGACTAATCCCGACGGCACATGGACTCTAG